ACTCAGGTTTAAAGGCAGTAAGGAACCCAGACAGGAATGTTAAATGGTAGAGGACGAAAGTAGGGTGCTTATTAAATCCATAGTCTATGCTCCTTGAACATCTTATAGAGAAGACACACACCTAAGAATAACAGGGGATAGGAAAATAAGAAAAAGGCAGTCGAATGTAATGAGGATGAAATAAATGTTTGCCAAGTGGGAGAACTGAGTAACACAGAGTCCTGCTTGGAAACTGCTGAAATTGGGACTAGGAAAGCTTAGATAATGGTTGGATTACCAAATATCATAATATTTATATTTCTTCTACTTTTCTCTTCCCTATCCTTCAGAACCATTCATTTTGCTACCCCTGTTATGCTAATGTATTTTTTAAAGAAAACTTTTGAGTTTAATTCTAATTTTATGTCATTGGTAACAGAAGAATCCTAAAGCCATTGAGATTTCAGTTGTCATTCTGTTGATGCATTATTTGTTTAGGATTTGACCTTACCCAACATTTTCTTAACTTGTAGGATTTCTGTTGTGTTTAGTATCCGCATCGTCTGCCATCATAGATCATCAAAGTGGCTTTCTTGTTGTTAGTAGATGTCACTGTAATAGACCTGTGCTTTTGGAAAAGGAGCTTGAAACTTTTTTTTTCAACCATGGAAAATTGGTGTTTTCTCACTTTTATTTAGTATTAATAAGCACAGTTTTAGTCTATAATAGTGTTTAAAACCATTTCCTAACCTTTAAATGCATTGACAGACACCTGTATTCTGTCATGACAAAAAGTAAGGACCCCAGCTTTATCCTGGCCTTGGCAGGAGAAGCTGTAAATATACACGTCAGTAGAAGTTGGTCTTAGGTCACAGCCGCTGTTAAACCCGGCATCAGAAACATGCTCTTTCTGCTTATTAGTAAACCTCATTGTGGGTGTATTCCTGAATACATTATTTTCTTTAGGAAAGAGTTTTTTAAAATACACTTTACATTTCCTTTTAGTCCCCACCACCCTCCACCAGCCTTCAGAGGCTCAGATTGGGGTTAAAACACTTTTTCGTATTATTTTAATTATTGCTCTCCCCACCCCCAACCCCACTCCTTTCCTGTTTCCCCCTCCTCTTTTCCCCTAACGGCACTGTTCTGCAAAGCCTGCAATGATTGATATGATGGCAGTGCTGTCATTCTTTTTAACCAAAAAAAAAGAGTCATTTTTGTTCTAGTTATTTTAATAGAGTCCCATTAAAGATGTATTGCTGACTGAAATATCGGCACGAAGGGCTCTCACTGAGCTGAGCCCAGGAATTAAGAAGTCAGGAAATCGGCTGCTGCATTGCAAGAGAGCCTTGTGTGACACCGAATCTCCTGATTGGGGAGATCATTACTGCTATTATGACTCGACTTGCGTAGGAATTTTAAATTCCATCTGAATGTCAGTAATAACCCTCTTAGCAAATTATCCTGAATAAAATCACGAAGGCATTTTATATAATAGGTGTTGAATTACTGGATAGATTTGCTAATTAAATACTCTTTGTTCTGCTGCAGTTGACATTACAGGGTAAGATCTTGAACAATTATTCTCAACAGCTGTACTTTGTTAAGGGAAAAATTAACCACAAAGTTTATTTTTTTACACTTGAAGTTGGCAGATTTTTGAAATGTGCTTGAAAAAATTCCATCATCCAATTGGTAATGAGTAGATAAATATGCAGGTGTTGCTGTGAAATCAGATAACTGCAGACTGCCTTATTAATGAATTTAGCAAGCCTTTATAGCCCTGTTTTCTAGCTGTTGGCACTTATAAAATGATTTTCTGTCAGAATGGGTAGCTTTAATATTAGGCTTGTCAATTTGAAGTGAACTTATGAACGGACATCTTGTAATCACTGTACCATGTGTCCAGTAGACTTTTCTTGATACCTGTGACTTCTTTTAAAAATGCATTTCCTTAATGGGGAAAATACCTGTGAAGTATAAGTTTTTGACTATTGGCTTGCAGAATAGTCATGTGGTACGGGCTTTTTAACAAGGCAGTGAAACATTCTGAAAAGAAAATGAGACATAAGGTCCAGCTTCTAGATCAAGCTCTTGACTAGTTCTGTTATTTTGGGTAAAATCACAGGGCCTAATTTTACTCATCTATAAAATGGGGTTTGTAATACTGCCCACTTTTTAGGATTATTCGTTCAGCATTTTACAAATAATCGTTAATAGCTCCTGTGCACCAGGCCCTCTGCTACATACTAACAATTTGTTAGCCCACAGGGTATCTAACAGCTGAGCCCTCCCCAGTGAGCAATTTGAATCAAGGGTGGCTTTCAGGTGATCCTGCTCATTAACACTTGGGTAAGCATTGGTCTGGACAGGGCACTATGGTACCCACCATGTAGAAGTGCTCAGTGAAGAAGCGTGAGAGGTCAGGGTCAGCCTGGTTGTGGATTGTCGCCTGTAGAATGGACTGAAGAGTTTACGCGCTGTGGTGAGGCCCTTGAACCTGAAATGGAGCATAGTCATCAGCTACCTGGAAAGATGGTGATAAAACTATCCTCAGAAATTGGTATAACCTCTGTGGAGAGCTATTTGGCTATATTTGTAAGAAATTTGAACCCATATAACCTTTAACCCAATAAGTCTTCTTATAGGAGTTCAATCTTGTTACTGGCAGTTTATGTATATGGATTATTTGTTGAAGTGTGGTTTTAAAGGCAAAGATCAGAAACAACCTACATGTTTATTACTATAACACTGGTTAAATATATCATGATCGATTCACAATGGAATACTGTATAGCCATTAAAAAAGAATAAGGCAGCTCTGTGTGTGTAGATAGGAAATAATCTGTAAGATAAAATATTAGGTGGCAAAAAGCAGTTGCAGTATAGTCTTTATGTTTTGCTTCATTTTCTACCATTTTTGTGCAAAAGATCCAACACCAGGTTTCTGCTGTCAAAGAGAAAATCATTTTGGTAGCAGCCCTCAGGTTGTGTGTGGAAATGATTGTGAGTTGGTGGCGGGAGAGAATAGAGACGGGTGGTAGATCTGAAAGCTGATTGTTGCCAGTACACATTGGAGGTACACTCAAGGGTGACATAAGGTTTCGTTCATGGTGTGAAAGAAGAGTAGAGGAAATTGGTTCCTGCATATTGCTGAGTTGCAGTGAAAGGTTGACAGGCTGCGTCTGAGGTATTTTACTTAGTAATGGTTACCTTGTGGAGTTGTCTGTTGTGATGAGGAAGGTGAAGCCTGGTGGGGTGGAAGGGGGGAGGGTGAGGAGGACTTGTGATGAGTAGTTCTGTCCTCACTGTGATTAACTTGGTTGATCTCATTATTGCCCTCTTCCCGAAGGAATTGTCAGATAGTCTCCCACAATGCATTTCCCTACAATTGAGATGTTTAAAAGTGAAGATGAAGGGGGGAGAGTGAATGTTTTTTAGGAGTTAACTGAATTTCAGGAAAGTAATTGGGATTACTATAAGACCCATCAGTCAACTAACAAATGGCTTTTTGAGCACCTGTCACATGTGAAGCCTGGAGTTAGGCACAAACATGTGCTCTGGCCTCCAGGAGCTTGTGGTCTAGTTGGGAAGGGGACAGACTGTCAACTGAAAACCGTTTTCAGAATGGCATTGTCATGATTGTCTTGGGCCATTGGTCCTTAGCCCTGCCTGCAACATAAATATCTGGAGAGCTTTTTCAAAAAATTGCCGGGGCCGGTATTGGTATTTTTTTTTTAAAGATTCCCCAGGTGATTCCAGTCTACAGCCACTATTAAAACCATTGATTGGGGTGGCTCAGTTGGTTAGCATCTGCCTTTGGCTCAGGTCATGATCCCAGGGTCCTGGGAACGAGCCCCGCATTGGGCTCCCTGCTCCACGGGGAGCCTGCTTCTCCCTCTCCCTCTCCCTCTCCCTCTTCCCTCTGCTTGTTCTCTCTCTCTCTCTTTCTCAAATAAATAAATAAGTAAATCTTTAAAAAAAAAATCGATTGCCCTAATCCATATTCACCACCACTCACCACCCCCAGGACAAGGGAAGGGCTTTCTTCTCTGAGAACATAGGACAGCGAATGCCTGAACAAAATGAGGAGACTGTAATAAAGGAGAGGAAGCAGTGGAAGTGGAAAGTAAGGGGTAGATGTAAAAGATAATCTAAGTTCAGGATTTACAGGGCTCTGTAATACATGTCTCCTGTCTGTGGCTATATGGGTCTAGGGGCAGTCCTGTCTACACATATTATCTAGATGTTTGTCTCCATTCACTGAATATTTATTGAGCCCCACCTTTGTACTGGGCACTGGGCTAGCTCCAGAGAATATGTGAAGGTCTACTCTCTGCCTTCAGGAAATCTACAGTCTTGAGAAGAAATTTAAATCTACTGCATATATATTTTTTTCACTTTTTAAGATTTTGAATACCATGGGTAAGAATTGCCAGATTTGAAATGCTCTGTTAAGCTTTTGTTTTTCAGCCATGCAGTTATTTTAAATACTAGTAATGAGAAGAGTTTGCCTTTTTGCCATATAATAAAGGGATGTTTTTATTACGCATGTTTATTAAAAATAGATCTTTACATAAATCTTAAATAGATATTTTTTTTTTTTTAAAGATTTTATTTATTTATTTGAGAGAGAGAATGAGAGAGAGCACGTGAGAAGGGGGAGGGTCAGAGGGAGAAGCAGACTCCCCACTGAGCAGGGAGCCCGATGCGGGACTCGATCCAGGGACTCCAGGATCATGACCTGAGCCGAAGGCAGTCGCTTAACCAACTGAGCCACCCAGGCGCCCTTAAATAGATATTAATGTAGAGCTACTTACATATCTCTGGCTAAGGATCAATGTAGAGGCCAACTTACTTTTAGATTATGTTGATATTACTGTTATTTTGAGGGTTGTAGTTAGAAAACCATGAAGAGCTTTAAAATGTATGACCAGTCATTGGGTTATCTGTCTCTATGTACTTATGTTTATGGTTTTGTAACTATGTAATGCATTAATCTTGACTTTTTCTTTCATTTAGATTTTGATGCATACAAAGGAGATGGTACAGAAGGTAATGCTGAGCATTTTCATTATACAATGACTCTTAAATATCATACCTCGTGACGTTTTTGTATTCAAGGAAAATTGTAACCCAAACAGACTGGAAATGGCTTCTTAGGATGGCTAGTTTACGTTTATAATCCCTCCTAATGGATTATAGCTTTTTTCTTTTACTAACACTGATATGATCTAGCCGCTGCTTGAAGCCTATATGTGAGGTTTCAAGCAAATTAGGAACAGTGCTAATTAGAGTTTACTTCCAGGCCTTTATACTGTATGTGCTCTAGTGTTGTTTGTTATGATTGATTTTTTTTTTTTTTTTGGCATTCTTCATATTCTACTGAATACTGTTTGAAACTGTGAAGAATTTCATATGAATTTGTGCCCCTGAATTTTAAAAATGCATTATGTTTCTGCTTTATAAATTGCCATGACCACTAAGCTTAATGGTACAGTGGATAAGTATAGACACCCCTTTCCTAGTTTCTTATCCTCCTTTATATTATTCAGTTCCACAGTTTGTTTCAGTTGAAAACTAGACATTTCCCCTGCCACTCTGCTATTTGTTTTAAGAAAATTAGCTAGATTTTCTTAATGTGACAGTGGCTTTCCTTTCTCATTTATTGGAGCTTAATCTTTGATTGTACTCCTCTGACAATATGGATAAGAATAAACATAAACTCTTGAAAAATCAACGGAACCTGTAATTTCTGCAGCATAGAAAATCTTGAGTTTCATTGTATATGATGATCACTGTTTTTGTTGTTAAATTTTATAATTTTTGTTTTTTATTAGATGAATCTTGAAGTTATTTATGGAGATACAGATTCAATTATGATAAACACCAACAGCACTGATCTGGAAGAAGTATATAAATTGGGAAACAAGGTGAGATAATTTGATGAAATTATCTGTTTTACCTACTTCTGTGAATTCTCTTTTAACATGGAACTTTATAAATTCATGTATGTGTACATGTGTGCTTCTGAAAATAATAAGCAGTGCTTCTCATTTCCTCATCCTCTTATTTTTCTTAACCTCTACTCCAGTTGTTTGTTTTTAAGGGTAAAATTCAAAAGAGAGTATTTTTTCCTTAAATGATAAATACATTTTTACTTTGAAAACAGTGTGAGATGTTTTCATCTTGTTTCTAAGGCTGGTGACAGTGATGTTCTCACACTTCGGTGATGTTGGGCTTAAGCCTGGCTACAGTGGTATCTTTGACTCTGGCTGCTGCTTTGGTCTTGCCAGGGGGTTCACACTGCTTCACATCCTGTGATATACCCTGTGTCTACTTTCTGATAAAAGAAGAAAGCAAAAAAAAATTTAATTTAAATTTAAAATATGGGAACACCTGGGTGGCTCAGTCGTTAAGCATCTGTCTTGGGCTCAGGTCATGATCCCGGGGGTCCTGGGATCGAGCCCTGAGTCAGGCTCCCTGCTCTGCGGGGAGTCTGCTTATCCCTCTCCCTCTCCCCTTCCCGACCCCCCGCCCCCACTCGTGCTATTCCCCCCCAAATAAATAAATAAAATCTTTTAAAAATAAAATATGGTCATATTTATACTTATCACATTATCATGCATGAGGAGAAATATATCTCTAGTAGTATTCAGATGGGTTTTATACGCTGATATGGATAAACACCTATCTACATACATGTACACACATTTATGATTTAAAAGTAATCATTTGTTGCTTCCTAATTGCAGTTTACAATTAGCAAGTGTTTCTTGAGTACTGGCTATGTTAAGATCTTATCCCAATAAACTAGAACTAAGATAACATCTTACAAAGTAACAGCTTCCTGCCTTTCTCCACTAATATGTGTGAAATATGACCTGTAGGCTTCACCTGAGAACAGGCCTGGCCTATTGTCCTCATCTTAGACTTCAAAAAGCTGTGTATTTTCCCTAGAGGTGATTGGCTGTGCCTTGATCCTATCAATAAAGAAATGTGATAAGTGATAATGTGATAAGTATAAATATGACCATATTTTATTTTTAAAAGATTTTATTTATTTATTTGGGGGGGAATAGCACGAGCGGGGGCGGGGGGTGGGGAAGGGGAGAGGGAGAAGCAGACTCCCCGCAGAGCAGGGAGCCTGACTCAGGGCTCGATCCCAGGACCCCCGGGATCATGACCTGAGCCCAAGACAGATGCTTAACGTGACTGGTCATTTTTTCTTCAAAATATAGGTATTTCCTTATATGTAAGGTGCTTTGGGAGGTACAGGGAGATCTTAGATATTTTTTCAAAGATTTTATTTATTTATTTGAGAGAGATATATTATTTTTATTTTGAGAGATTATTTATTTGAGAGTGTAAAGATTCTTATGAATCTTGGGAGGGGCAGAAGGGGGGGGGGAGAGAGAGAGAATCTCAAGCACACTCTTGCACTGAGTGCAGAGCCTGATATGGAGCTCCATCCCACGACCCTAAGATCATGACCTGAGCCGAAACCAAGAGTCAGACACTCAACCAACTGAGCCACCCAGGCGCCCCTTAGACATTATTTTAATAGTCAAAGTTTTACTTATTTCTAGCCATGTATCTACTTGTTAGACTATCTAATCTCTAATCCAGTAGTTTGGAGGTAAGTATATAAGCATTTAGTTTTTAGATTCAAAAAGACTATTTCATAATTTTTGTAAATTTCCTGGGGCAGACCTGCCAATTCTGTCCTTTGGTTGAATGGGATGATATATTTATATTACTGTGTTTTTTTTTTTCAATCTGTTTTTGTCCCTGTGCTCTTTCCGTGATTTTGCATCATACTCAACATAATAATGTTTTGTGTATCACCTGAGTAAATGCATTCCAATCTTGTGTGAATTCAAGTTCTGTTTAGATTAACTCTTGGAAGTTTGTAGCATGTTCATCTTCTCCCTGGTAGATGTTTGAGAAGCTAGTATTAATGCTTGAAATTTTCACAGGTAAAAAGTGAAGTGAACAAGTTGTACAAACTGCTTGAAATAGACATTGATGGTGTTTTCAAGTCTCTGCTACTGCTGAAGAAAAAGAAGTATGGTGCTCTGGTTGTTGAGCCAACGTCAGATGGGAATTACTCCACCAAACAGGAGCTGAAAGGGTTAGATATAGTTAGAAGAGATTGGTGTGATCTTGCTAAAGAAACTGGAAAGTGAGTTCAGCTTTCATTTTTGCTTTTTTTGTTTGTCTGTAAAAACTTGGAGTATTAATGACATGGAGAAGATCTGTGATTCTGCCAAGCCCAAGGGACACAACTTCTTTTGTTATTGTTGTTGTTACATATTAATGCTTCTCACTTATTTGGAGTGGAATTTCTCAGGTAGATTAAAACTTAGCAAAAGCTAAATTTGCTCAGTAAGAGGTACTTGCTGTAAGATACATCTTAGGAGTTGTAACTCACAGTGAGGGTGAACCTTCACATTTTAGCTCCCTACAGAGTTAGTTTCGTTGATGTTGGCTTGTGTCTGTTTTGTTTTGCTTTCATATTCTTATTAGAAAGTGCCTTGTGTTGTGTTCCTGAATCATTGTAGAGCCTCTTTAGGAACATAATTGTTAAGGTGTTCCCGTGTTGTAGCTTAAATATTCTGGGATTCATAGTGGACCATGGACTGAGACTTTGTTCCCATCCATATCATTTGTGTGTAAAGATTCTTATGAATCTCTAGGAAAAAGAAAAAAAATAAGATTCTTACTAATCTTAGATTAATTTAAGAGCTAGTTTTCAAATACATAAGTACCTCAAATAATAAATGTCATGGCTGATCCTTTAGCTTTGCATCTGAGACTGGAAATTGTGATACTAAGGCCTGTTTTTTTTTTTTTTAAAGGGTCACATTAATTTATAAAGCATCCATTTAGAAAAGCCTGAATCCTTAGGTATTTAATGTACCATCATTTTAGATATTCCTGTCTGATGAACCTGCCCAATTCTGAAAATAGAAGAATTTTTTTCTTTAAAGCAAAATTTAAATTAATTTTAATATTGCCAAATATTCACACTTTTTACTTGTTTTCCAGTCCTCTTGCTTTCAAGTTGGGAGCTTGAGCAATTGTTGCTTCTGCAAAACCACTCTTGATTAGGCAAAGTTGATCATCCGACTATAGGTCACTGTTAGCCTTTTATGAAATGAAGTTTGAAATGCTTCATTGCCCCCAAATGTACCCAAAGATGAAACTACTTTGTATAGACTGTCGATTAGAGTGTTCTCTTCAGCTTTGTGTTTTCTAAGAAAAGATGCATCATAATGGAAGTAAATTTCTCTGAGTTAGAAATGTATTAGTAATTAAAGCTATACAAATGTTTTTGTCAGGGTTCTTTTTCTGACAAATTATAATGCAGCTGTCAAACCCTCACTCTGCATTTTCTCAGAAATGGATAAAATATTGGCTTCCTTACTCCTTTTCTTTTTCTTTTTTCCCTTGTTTTTTGAGGGGGTCCAGTAGAATAGTAAGTTTTTCAGGGATAGCATAAGGTTGGAGAACACTGAGGAATATAATGAAGCTGAAGAAAGAAATTTGAAATCTTTGGGTTTTAAAAAATTTGCATAAAGAACTATATTTCTGCTTACCTAGCTAATGGTCATCTCAGCTTGGTGGTATCAGAGGTAGTATCTTGGTGCTTTATGGGGAAAGAGAAATTTTTGTCTTTTAAATTTTAACCTATGAGTAGAGTATAACTGCTTGTGAATTTTGTAATTGCATATATACAGTTGTGGATGGAACACATACCTTTCTCTGTCCACATTTTGTATGAAGCATTAGCTGCTGCATTAGAAAATGGTCTGTATGTTTAAGGGCAAACCTGACATTCCAAGGTTGGTAAACCTTTGGTAGAGTTAATGTTAAAAAACAAATAGTAACGGCCTTTTGGACATTCACCCTCATGTTAGCTTTCAGTACAGCTCTTGTCCACATGTTAATCTAATGGCATTTATCTTCCTTTTCTCTCCTTTATTAATAAAGTATAATATTAAAAAAATGAATCCCTCTCTTCCTTTGCAGCTTTGTCATTGGCCAGATTCTTTCTGATCAAAGCCGAGACACTATAGTGGAAAACATTCAGAAGAGGTTAATAGAAATTGGAGAAAATGTGCTAAATGGCAGTGTCCCAGTGAGCCAGTTTGAAATTAACAAGGTAAATGTAGCATTTATTGCTGAGCCCAGCTGCTGCCATGTGTTTTTCGCCTCCTTCAGCTAGTTGAAGAACCACCTCATCCTTGCAACCGAAATAAATTCTAGCTGGTGATGAAAGCTGCTTAACAACTAACTCACGGATGGAGCGTTAGCATACCACTCTTCCTCTTCCAGCCACTGGTGCTGCCCTGTCAGCCACAGGGGCCTTCTCTCTGCATTTCTTACTTGTTGGAAGCCTCATTTCCAGAGATTCTATGGAGCGATGTAGTTGATGTTTAGGGGACTAGAGAATATTACCTTCTCCATAGTCCTCCTCATTTATAGTTGTTTGGGAGGACAGGCCTGTAAGCTTAGAGAAAGATGGAGACAGAGAGAGAGAGAGAGAGAGAGAGAGAGAGAGAGTGTGTGTGTGTGTGTGTGTGTGTGTGTGATTTTCACAGAATGTGATCCTTAGAGGTACTGTAATCAGAATGCTTTTTTTGGACATAGATACTTCTTTAGAATTAAGATGGCAATAGCATTTTCTTTGTAACCAGAGCACTTGTGCTTTTATTATCTTTTTCAACTATGTAATTTAGACTTTATGGACAGTCTTAGTTGTTGAAAATGAGGAATATTTTTCCTTACCTAATTTGAAAAATAAAACCTTGGTTTCCAAAGTGCTGTGTAATATAAGATGTTAGGTTGCCGATTTCCTTTTTTCCCCCCATTTAAAAAGAGTACCCATACATATTCAGAAGCTAATTTCGCGAATACCATTTTACCCATTTTGTGATAAATAGATTTCGTTGTCAAAGCTGATACAAAAAAGGAATTTTAATGAAAAAGAATCTAATGATGACATTAAATAGAAGACTTAGAGTTAAGACTCATTCATGATACCCCTGTGCTAAAGTGATGCTTGTCATTTTTGCACGGTTCCTTACTCTTTTTTTTTATTTTATTTTTTTTATTTTTACACTGAAGCAATTACAATATATATTATGTTGAAATCTGTTTTTATTTGACATAAACAGATTGTTTCACATTTCTATATTATCTTAAAAATGATCGTGTTAATCTTATATTTCACTGATACATTAAAATTTCTGTTTGATTATTTACATTATTTTGGATACTGGAAATAACTGTATTGAACATCTTTCTATCTTAATCTTTTTGCTTTTGGATGAATTCTTTTTTTTTTTTTTT